TGTCTGTTCCCCTTTCCCCAATTCCCCAGCATTGTTCCCATCCCCCCAATTCCCCAATAAAAATCTTTAAAAAAAAAAAGAAAAAGAAAAATACTTCTCCATGATGCCATTTAAAGAATGCATTTTCCCAATTCATTTCTAATTGACCAATAAAAGAAAGAGACAAAACATGTTGACTTCAGTACCAACTATGAGGCCACCACATTGCCAAAAATATCCTTCAGTCATCTGAATGAAGGCATACTTTTCAAATAAGGATTTCTCCTAAAATCCCTATATTATCAATAGAGAGAATCCCTAGGACAGAGACAGATTTGAGAAACCCAGATAAGAAAAGAAAGCTAACATTACTATCTCTTCAGCAAAGGAAATTAAGAGGCACTACAAATAGATATTGGAAATGCTCTTGGAGGACTGTAGAAAACATCCATGAAATTAAACACCCACATGCATGCATACATGCATACACACACACATGCACACACACAAAGGCAGAAAAATGGATGTCACTGAAATAGATAAAACAACAAATGACAGAATAATGACAGCTTTCTGCCCTATGTGTACTGGCTGGCTGGGAAAAGATGTCAACAATGCAATTTTTAAAAACCTAAATATAAGGATAGCCAAAATGGCATTGGAAAAAACAAGGAAAAACACTGTCAGAAAAGAAAACAACTAAAGGTAAATGATATATTTGGTCTTATGTTTTTAAAAATCAAAATATTTAAAAAGTTAAACATGATTTTCCTGTTGCCTACTAAGGATTAAAAATACCTTTATATATTAAAAAGTTTATATGTTATATGTTTACATATAAGAATACATTATATATTTTAAAAAGGTCCAGCAAGTCAGCTACTGAGTTCGTTCCATAAAGCTTGTATGTACTAAAGGGACCTTTTGAAACAGATGAGGAAATGGGAATTGTACAGCCCCAGGACTCAGAAAGATATTCAACAGGATGAGTCAGATCAAGAATTCACCTTCTTTAGACCAGGGACACTGGTGTTTCTTCTGCCCTTACAGAAGAGCTATGAGCTACCCCAGTCATCTTGGGAGAGTCCAGCAAACTCAGCATGTTCCCAAGTCTGTCTGGTCAGCACCATGGTGAGCACCAAGTGGTTTCTCATTTCCCACTAGCTGGAAGGCCCCGATACTAACTTCCAAATATTAAGGGAGGAAGTTCTGAGGGTGTAAGGAAGCATTACCAAAACCTTAATCACAAAATCTGAGAAATCTCTGCTTTTGTACTCTTGTCTTGCACATGTTCTTAGAAACCCAGTACATGGTACAAAAAGACCCAAAATAAATTTTTGCCTGAATATTGTATTGTCAAAATATATACCCTTCTACCCTACATAATTATTGTTACAATTTTACAGCACAGATGGAACTCCCACCTTCTGTGAGAATATAGGAAAGGCTAAAATAAGTTTGATTTATTTAGAGTAAACAGATATCTTCAGTTGGATTTCTAAAATACAGACAGCAGAACTGCTTTAAGTAAGAAATATTGAAAGTCCTAGTCCATTTGGTATATGTACTAAAATATTTTTATACTTATATCAATTAACCCAAATGAAAAAAAATTCCAACTAAGTTTTCATAAGTAATCATAAATTTTACATTACCATTTTGGAGCAGAGAAAGACATTAATTAATATTCAACAAAAAAAAGGGATATCAACCTCTATAGAGAGCATATCCAAAAATTAGTTTATGTAGGTATATATTTTCAGTTTGCCATTATCCTATTTTGAATAAAAAGTTAGGACACTTTTGTCATGTTTATATTTCAAAGATGCTGGGTACAGCCCTAGTAGAGTTGTGTCTGAGATAAGTATAACACACTTTTTATCATCCTGAAAACATTATTCCCTAAAAAAAAAAAAATACAGAGGAGTAAAGTATATCAGGCAAGGTGACAGATAAACTATTATCCCTTCAAAAATCAAAGTGCATTTTTGCTGATCAGGTAAAAGACTTATTGAAATAGGCACAGGCCAGTATGCACTTATGGAATCAGGCTTTCTTTAGTGACTAAGTGTAAAAACACACCCAAACTTCTCCCCATCTACCAAGGCACATCTCTCAAGTGGGTGTTCCATTGACATAGCACATCTGCCTTCAGAGCCAGCTGGGAAAACTCCTCAAAAGCAGACCCCTATTATGTGTTCAACTGTGTTCCCCCCCAAAAAATATGTTCAAGCCCCAATCCACGGTACTTGTGAATGTGACCTTATTTAGAAATAGGGTATTGGCAGATGTAATCAGGTTAAGATAAAGTTGTGGGGGTGAGTATTAATCAAATGGCTGGTGTCATAAAACAAGGGAAATTTGGGCACAGAGACAGAGAGGAGACGGCCCTGTGAAGATGGAGGCAGAGACTGTAGTGATGCTGCCACAAGACAAGGAATGCCTGAGGCCACCAAAAGCTGGAAGAGGCAGGGACGATACTCGCCTAGTGGCTTTGGAGGAAGCATGGCCTCGCCTACACCTTGGTTTCAGAGTTACAGGCTCCAAAACTGCAAGGAAATAAATTTCTGTTGTTTTAAGCTATCCAGTGTGTGGTACTTTGATATGGTCGCCCTAGGAAACTGACACACTCTTTTAGTCATTACGTTGTGGGAGGTAGAGGAGGAGGCAAGAAGACAGGGTTCCAAGTAGATACAATTTTTAGGCTCATTTGGATCATTTAATTATCTCTTAAAAGATAACATTCAGAAATCTCCACAAATGTTCTTGCTCCTTTGGTGTCTGGTGTCTAATAAGGGCAGACCTCTTGCCTATATCCTATTGAGAAAAACACCCCACTCTCCAGAGAAGTGCTCCTGTCCCCGAGTGGGAAAGAGGATATGGAAATAACATATGAAGAGTTTAACAATGTAATTAAACAAACACACTTTACAATCTTAAACTGAAGAATTGTATGTCACTTGTCAACACATCACAGAGATTAAAATTTCAAAGATGGAGAACTTGACATAGCGTAACCCACCGTTCTGGGTAGAAATAAATGAGCTTCCTCTGGGTATAATCCTATGGTAAGATTAAAATGCTTCCCCCTGTCAAAGCCTCAAACTGCACTTATACTCCTAGGCAAGGTGGAAAAACATCCATTCAAAATGGAGGCCTCCAATACATCTAGGAATCTAGTAGGTTTATCGGTTTAAATCAGTGTAGTCACTTCAACTTTCAGGGGATTAGATGCACCAGCATAAAACTAGTTGTGAAATTATTAACATATACTAATTAAACATAAATTGTACTCCCTGCTATTTAGGAGAAAAGGTGTGCTCATTCAAAATCTTGTCTTAAGCCCAAAAATGTAGCCGAAAGAATATTATCAAACCAAAAACACCTTTCCTAAACCTTGACAAGGATCATAATTTAGATCAAAAACTGACAAAAATACACTCTCAAAAAGAAGCTAAAATTGAATTGTGTGAAAAAACTAAAACCCCAGAACACCTTAGGCAAGTTAAGAAAATTCCGACGTATTTCAATACAATATGCCATCATCTACCAAATTTAGACTATTACTGCAGTTTCACAAGTATGGATTATTCACAAATATAATTGTTTTTCTCTGATTTATTTGAGCCCTGCTTGGTAAAACGGTCATCTCCAATTCAGGTTAATTTGGGGAAACCCGGCTTTTTCCAGATGGCATCAAGAAGCGCAGGAAGCTAATATGAGCCTAAACTCAAAGTCATATGATTTTTATCTTAACGTGGAGTGCGAGAGCTGTTCACCTCTGACTTCACTTTGATCCCTTTCTTAAACCAGCATTCTACCATGGAGTTCTCCACACTACCCCTAAAACGTCAAGTTTCTCTATCAGAAAACTAGTGTTACCCTGAAAGTCTGCACTAAAGCCTGCTGAAAACCTGGCTGACCCACACTCGCTGCTGTAGAGTAGACAAAATATAAAATGACATCACGTCCTATGTCTTTACTGCATCAAACACACGGCTAATTTAGTGCCAGCAAGCTTCCTGTCTTCCAGCTTAGTCTAAGAAACTCAGCACTACAAACCTCTGGACGCGTTGCACCTCCAGCCAGGAGCTGTTCACCTGCCAAAGTGCTGATTAATTCAAGGACCTTTCGTCCTGTTTCCAGTCTTCCTGTTTGGGCAGCTGTGCTCCAAACATTTTTTTCATGCTCAAAGCCAATGTCTTGGAAAGTATAATTTGGCATGAGTTTCTCAGTCTTAACAGGTAAGGAGACTGTCTATCTCCAAATAGTGAAACATCCTAACCCAGAGACGTGAATAAAGGAGAATAACCGAACTTTAACGACCAGAGCAGTGTTATGAAAACACAATGCACTTTAAAACTTCCATCCAAGAAAATCTGGTGGGAAAACTCCTTTTCCATTTAAACCAGGATTCTGAATCCAGTCTGCATTTTGAACCCTTTTAAAATGTTGATACCAGCTCCATTCCCAGGTCAACTGAATCACAATTGCTACGAGAAGGATTCAAGCATTAGGGTTTTCTAAAAGCTCCCCAAGATGATTCTAATGTTCAAGTGTAGTTGAGGATGCCTGATCTAGACCAGGGGTCAGCAAGCTTTTTCAGCAAAAGGCCATGCCGTAAATATTTTAGGCTTTGTGAGCATCTAGTGTCTGTCACAACGACAACTCGGCTGCTCCGGCGTAAATGTAGCCAGGAACACTACATAAGTGAAAAAGTGTGGTTGTGTTCCAATACAGCTTTATTTAGGAACATTGAAATTTGAATTTCATATAACTTTTCCATGACACAAAATATTATTCTTCTTTTGATTTTTTTTTTTTTTAGCCATTTAAAAACACAAAGACCATTCTTAGCTTGTAGGCCACACAAAAACAGATGGCAGGGCTATTGTTTCCTGACTCCTGATCTACCCTGCAGATTCTATCCACTTCTCCTTAATCTTTTATTAAAAACAACATTTATGCTCAGTGACTCACTCAATCAGTCCTAGGAAAGATTCCCTTCAAAGCATGGGTACCTTCAGATTCGAGCTGGTCCAGGCCATATGAGGCAGCCGTATTCACGCGGCTAACGGGTGGGACAACGGTCCTCCTCTCAGAGGATGCCTCAAAATCAGGAAGTGCTGGGGAAAGGCTGGCCTCCTCCATTACTCCAGGGGGTGTCACAGGAGAGCCCAAAACGGGTGTGAACAACTCCTCGTTGGGCCCTGTGGCTGTGTCCGTTAGGTCTGCCAAACACAAGAGACAGGACTTGACCCAAAGATGATCATTATGGGAAACATGCACATGTGCTTTTACTTCTTAAGCAAAAAATGATTACTGAAACCAATATGTTACATACAGTACGTTTGGCACTTAGACCAGCAACCCTTTCCCATACGGCATCAGTCCTGGACTAGCTACCCAAGGTTAACACTTTATTTTTCAGGAAAATATACTCTCTTAAATCAGAACTTCGTGTTTAGATTTTAATCTCCCATTTATTATATTGAAAATATTATGGATTTTGCAGGATTTTATATAATTTACCACCAAAGATAGAAAATTTAACCAAAATATATACTAAACTATATGCCAAAGACTACTTTTAAATATTAAGTCGAAGGGTAAGAGCATAGGTCTGTGTCTGGAATATGCTAATTTCAAAACAGCCACATTTAGTTTCAGGTATCTCCAAATCTAAAAATTCTGGAATAGTATTATTTTGCAAGCCTGATTGATCATCAGAATCTCTTCCAGCAATTTTTTAAACCACCACATTGTTTATTAAGTGAATTTTTTACAATACAAACAAAAATATAGAAATGCCATATATGAATACAGCAAAAAGTAGAATGACTTTTTTTTTCCTTTTCAAGAGGCCATGGTTTCCATTTCTAGTAAAATAAAGAGTCTGTACATAGGTAGAAATAGGTTGGCTGTTAGCTTCATAATTTTTCCTAGAAATTATCTATAAATGCATTCCCCCCTCCCCCCGCCCCCTGCTACTTACCATAAAGTGTAAAAAGGGAATTAAAGGAAAGTTTCCTGGTTGGAAACTTGTTGGAAAGATGCCGTATTCCATTTTAGTAGGACCAATATATGGAAAATACCTAAATTAAATGTTATTACAAAAATGAAGCAGTAATGAGATTCTGGCTTAAGAGGTCACTAAATGGGAATAATATATATTTAAAGAATCCAAAACAAACAAACCAAAACAAGGCTGTTATGAAAAAGCTCTAGGTGCATTATAAGCATATAGGTTTTTTTCCCATGTATATTTTTAAACAATGAAAGTGTCAAAAACTAGGATCAACCATGCGAGACAATGACGTTATTATCTATGCTGCATTGAATGGAACCTTTGTATTATAATTATCATAAAGAAGCATAGTTTGTATCATATTATAGTGATTTATCCTCAACAAAAACCTTTCAGAGTCCTTTTATTTTGGAATATCCTATAAATAATCAAACCACCAGAACATGATTGTACAACAGCAAAATGTTTTCTTGTATTAAACTGAAGTTATCTGTTTAATAATACAAAAAAAATGTAGGCAAGGTACTTAGTGCTGTTTGTTTCTAAGTACACAACAGCCTAGACAATTCAAGGCATCTTAATCTCCACCAAGAACAAAATACTAATAATAATTTTTGTCACGCTATTAAGTCCATTAAGGATAAAACTGGTGCAAATTGGTCAAACGGATCCAACAAACACGGATGTCCAAGCTGGTATAATGGGCAACTAACATGTAACTGGCGGTCAACAGAGGGTTTAAAAGATCTTCCCTTTCTTCTTGTTCTTTTCCAAGGTTCCTGAAGAGTTCTGTTGTTCTAAAATGTGTTGTTGGGCTTCCCAGTTTGCTGTCTCATCTTCAAACTGATGACGTTTTTCTATTCTTTGTGCTGTGCTTCCAAATTCTTTTTCATTTCCTCTTGATGTCGTTGGAGCTCAGCTTCAAAGTCCTTTAGTTTTTTAACTTTTTCTTTGACCTTCATCGCAGACACCTGCTCCATCTCCCCCTCCATCCTCTTCATCTTAGCTACATGCACCCTTCTTTCTTCTCCCATTTGTACCAGAGGGCTGTTAGTAAGCTGCCCTTTATTCTTGTTATTATGAACTCCATTATAAGTCACAGCGGTCAGTTTTCTGCTTCAGTAGTTCTCAGAGCGTACGTTATGAGTGACATCTTTCAATTTCCGCGTGTGTGTTCTCATCAACATGTTTCTTAGAATTGCAAAATCACAATTTTTACCGTTTTCAACTTCAGCTACACCCCAAGGATACTGCCTTCCTCTGATCCTTTTCCACGAACTTCAATGACAGTATGACTACCTACCACAGCAAGAGGTAAACGATCCTTTATCTTTCCAACAACCTTATTTTTTTCCTCATCATCTGTCTCTGGAAAGTCATATATTTTAATTTCATGTTCTTGGATTCCTTTCATTATCTGTTTTTTAAACTGTTGGCACTCCTCTGGTGTGAGTGTGTCTGCTTTGGCGATAAGTGGGATGATGATCACTTTTTCATGCGAACGCTTCATAAACTCAATATCCAGTGGTTTAAGTCCATGTCCTGAAGGAGCAATGAAGTATAAACAACACTGCACCCTGTTATCAGGCATCTGGCGTCTTTTCTCTTGAGATTCTGCATTTAGGTAGTCCTCACATTTACTATCAATGTAGTCCATAACAGGCTGCCAGCAATGATTATTATCCACTGCATCTCCAAATCCTGGGGGATCAACTTCTGGGAGCAGCCACTGAACACCACCTTCTTTGATTAAAACTTTGGATTGTTCCACCTGGACAGTCTCTTTTATTCTATGGACAGGACCTGGATTCTCTGGAGAATACAAATCTGTGAGGAATAATGAGTTGATTAAAGTCGACTTTCCCAGTCCAGATTCACCCACAACCGTAAGTATGAATTCGAGCCCTCTCTTCATTGATTTGCTATACACTTAATTTGGGAGATTTGGAAATCCCACATAGGCTTCAAGTACTTCTGTTGAGCCATGGTGCTGCTATTGAGGCAACTCTTCTCAGCAGCATTGATCTTGCACTGGCTGACATCCCCTCCCACTCCGCGACCCCTGCAGTAATTTTTTTAATGTCAGTATCATGCTTTCCCAACTTACTGAATCATAACCTCCTTGGTGGTGCAGCCTGAGAAAATATTTTTAAGAGCTCCCAGGATATGGTTCCACAGAGTCTCATGCACATTATTGTTAGTAGTATAAATTGGTGCAACCACTTTGGAAAAAAGTTGGGCATTGCTCCTGAAGTTGAATATCCATATACTATATGGCCCAGCAATTCAGTTCCTAGGCATATACCCAAGAGAAACTCCTACACATGCATGTACAGTGGAGAATATGAAAAAGAATACTCATGGCAGCAATGTTCACAGGAGCCAAACCTGGAAATGACCCAAATGCGAATCACTAGGAGAGACTGGATGAACACCGGATGAATAAACTGTGATATATTTTCATAATGGAATATTATAAGCAGTCAAAACAGAGCTACAATACATAAATCATAGCCACAGAATATTAAGTTTAAAAAGTCCCAAAAAGGCTATCTACAGGACAATAATGTTTTTATAAAATTAAAAACAACTAAAAATTTTAGATGTATAATTTTAAGAGTTCATATAGATGCAATAAAACTAAAAGGAAAAAGAAAGAAAAAATACTAAAAAAAAGGAAGTCAAGGAAATGATTCACACCAGGAAGGCGTTGAGATGGGAAGGGGTTATGGGGTTACATACAGGTTATTGACAAAGCCCTAGGGGTTTGGGATGGGGGCACGATTAGAAGCTGTTTATTATATTGTTTAAAATAGGGCCAGACAGACCTGAGAATGTATCCCCAAAAGCGTGAGCTTAAAATACAAGA